GACGACTAAACTTCACCACGCCCAACGTTATCTGCCTTTAGCTTAGCGGTGGTGAAATGAAGTCATGTGACCGTGCTGTAGTTCCTTTATAGCCCAACATTAGCCTCCTTTAGCTTAGCGGGGGTGACATGAAGTAATGTGACCGTGCAGTAGTTCCTCTATAGCCTAACGTTAGCCGCCTTTAGCTTAGCGGGGGTGACGTGAAGTCATGTGACCGTGCTGTAGCTCCTTTATAGCCCAACATTAGCCTCCTTTAGCTTAGCGGGGGTGACGTGAAGTAATGTGACCGTGCAGTAGTTCCTCTATAGCCTAACGTTAGCCGCCTTTTGCTTAGCGGGGGTGACGTGAAGTCATGTGACCGTGCTGTAGCTCCTTTATAGCCCAACATTAGCCTCCTTTAGCTTAGCGGGGGTTACGTGAAGTAATGTGACCGTGCTGTAGTTCCTTTATAGCCTAACGTTAGCCGCCTTTAGCTTAACGGTGGTGACGTGAAGTCATGTGACCGTGTTGTAGTTCCTTTATAGCCTAACGTTAGCCGCTTTTAGCTTAGCGGTGGTGACGTGAAGTCATGTGACCGTGCTGTAGTTCCGTTATAGCCCAACATTAGCCTCCTTTAGCTTAGCGGTGGTGACGTGAAGTCATGTGACCTTGCTGTAGTCCTTTATAGCCTAACATTAGCTGCCTTTAGCTTAGCGGTGGTGACGTGAAGTCATGTGACCGTGCTGTAGCTCCTTTATAGCCCAACATTAGCCTCCTTTAGCTTAGCGGTGGTGACGTGAAGTCATGTGACCGTGCTGTAGCTCCTTTATAGCCCAACATTAGCCTCCTTTAGCTTAGCGGGGGTGACGTGAAGTAATGTGACCATGCTGTAGTTCCTTTATAGCCTAACGTTAGCCGCCTTTAGCTTAGCGGTGGTGACGTGAAGTCATGTGACCGTGCTGTAGTTCCTTTATAGTAGTGCTGTAGCGACGCGTCGACGTCGTTGACTTCAAAATATCGTCGACGACATATTTCCGCGTTGACGCGTCGCTACACACACGTGGGTCACCCAAAGCAACAAGCAGTTCGCAATCGCACTTCAAACACAATGGAGACTGAAACGGCTACCACCTCCTCCTCACAGGATTGCGCACGAAGCCCCCAAACGAAAACATCTCGCCCTAGGTCTTCAAAAGCATGGGAATATTTTAAAGTTAGTCCAAAACGCAAAGATATTTATATATTTATATCTCACTGAGACTGCTGCATAGCCTAGCAGAAGCAGCAGCTAGCTGTGGTGGCTACCATTAGCAGCTAGCATTTGCTCTCCGATTTTTTACATAAAATGGAATTATGGATTATAAATTCAATCATTTTTTTATACATAGACGTTAAAAACCTATGGATTAACCGATTCAGCCGCGTTTTTCTCATTTTAATGCCATTGAACATGTCTTTTGATCAGATTGACAGCTACGGTGGTGAGACGATCTCCCTAGAAGCTCTGTGAAGGTACGTGTTGTGATGACTGTATTTGCTTCCCCTGTCGCGAGTCCGGATCACTCAGTGATGATACTATATACCTACATAATCTGTGGAGTCTCAGCTTTAATCGGATATATTGTATGTGCAGCTACGATAAGTAATAAGGGTACTTTTTATCTTGAGTTCTGTGCCAATGTCCGTTAGCATTTTTCGCTCAGGGGTCATTTAGATGCTTTTTATGAGACTTGTGTTTTGTTTTGGTAAACATGGTTTGTATCGTCAATTAGCTGAGATTATTTCCGTTAATCTGGTATAACACATTAATAGGTTCTTAAATATTAAGATCCCCTGAGACACAGTATCGTGTACAATTTTTTTTTACATTACGTTTTTTATGAATTGAACAACAGAAAAATAATCGTTAGATTAGTCGACTAATCGATCAAATAATCGCCCGATTAATCGTTTTCAAAATAATCGTTTCCCCCCAGCACTACTTTATAGCCTAACGTTAGCCGCCTTTAGCTTAGCGGTGGTGACGTGAAGTCATGTGACCGTGCTGTAGTTCCTTTATAGCCCAACATTAGCCTCATTTAGCTTAGCGGTGGTGACGTGAAGTCATGTGACCGTGCTGTAGTTCCTTTATAGCCCAACATTAGCCTCCTTTAGCTTAGCGGTGGTGACGTGAAGTCATGTGACCGTGCTGTAGTTTCTTTATAGCCCAACATTAGCCACCTTTAGCTTAGCGGTGGTGACGTGAAGTCATGTGACCGTGCTGTAGTTCCTTTATAGCCTAACGTTAGCCGCCTTTAGCTTAGCGGTCATGACGGGAAGTCATGTGACCGTGCTGTAGTTCCTTTATAGCCCAACATTAGCCACCTTTAGCTTAGCGGTGGTGACGTGAAGTCATGTGACCGTGCTGTAGTTCCTTTATAGCCTAACGTTAGCCGCCTTTAGCTTAGCGGTCATGACGGGAAGTCATGTGACCGTGCTGTAGTTTCTTTATAGCCCAACATTAGCCACCTTTAGCTTAGCGGTGGTGACGTGAAGTCATGTGACCGTGCTGTAGTTCCTTTATAGCCTAACGTTAGCCGCCTTTAGCTTAGCGGTCATGACGGGAAGTCATGTGACCGTGCTGTAGTTCCTTTATAGCCTAAAGTTAGCTTTTTAGTAAGCGGTGTGAATATGTGGAGATGATCAGCTGAACTAAACGTTTTTTTGAGAGATTATTTTTGACCAAATCCAAAATCCCATTGGCTTCTTGTGGAGGGAACCAGGGAGATGCTGCCTTCAGGGTCCTACACAGAAAACATTCCTGCAGCTCTCTATTGAGCTTTAGTTGTATACAGGTACTTCTTCTGCAACTACAACAAACTGGTTCCTGTTTCAGATGAGATGATGTTTCAGTAAAAACAGCTTCACTCTGTTTTACCGCCAAGAGCCACGAACAAACAACACCGGGCAGAAACACAAAGTACAGGAAGCCGGGGGGGGGGGGGGGGGGGGGGGGGGAGGGAGGGGGGGGGCGAAGATGGCGGATGATTCCTGAATGAATCAGGTAGTAAAGAAACCTCACCTGGTGTGTGTTGGTTGAACAGGAAACAGAGGGAGAGGGGGTTGGGGGGGGGGGGGCACATGTATGATGGTGTTTTACCTTTCACATTATATACAGACATCACCAGTTTGACCTCTGACCCGTCATAGTGAAGGGCTGGGCATCACATCTAACACACTTTATTATTAAATGTAAAATATAAGGTTTTTATAACAGACATTTCTATATCGTCAAATCCCATGTTGTGCTTGGTTTTAATCTGCTGTGTTTTCCTGTAAAGTGCTTTTTAATAGACTTTATTAGACAGTACATATGCTGTTGGGGAAAGCTACGCATGGGACTTGAGGAAAAGAAGAACAATAGTGAATACTTTAAATGTTTAATAATACCCAGCCCTGTAACATATTCAGTTTGAAATGGAAATCAGAATCAATAAAACACATTGAGGATGAATAAAGAGTTTCATCAGCCTGTTTTCCAGCAGAGATAAAAAGCATGTTTCTAGATATTGATAAAACATTAGTCACAGAGCAGAGGAAGACTTTGATCATTGACATGGATAATAATACAAATAACACCATGAACGCCGCCCTGCAGGTAATACTGCTGATCCTCACTGTGAACTGTCTACTTACACAACACACCATCAAACCTGTCCTCAGTTATAAAGCTGCGGCAAGAAAAAACACCTCCAGAATACCAATAAAATACCACCTTAACCCTACACATATCACATTAACCCTTTAAAATACCACCTTAACCATACAAAGTTCCACCTTAACCCTACAAATACCACCTTAATCCTACAAAATACCACCTTAACACTACAAATACCACATTAACCCTATCATACCACCTTAACACTACAAAATACCACCTTAACCCTACAAAGTACCACCTTAATCCTACAAAATATCACCTGAACCCTACTAGGGATGCCAGCGATTATTCGATTATTCGAATATTCGTTACAGTCTCCATAATCGAAAATTATTTTTAAAATTCGATTTTATTTATATATATTTTTATTATTATTTATGTTTTTTTTTTTTTTGCTGGCTTAGTTTCAACCAAAAATATAGACTAATGCTAATAATAGTATTAATAATTGTAAATGGCCATTGGTCACACCACCAGTTTGTTTTACTGTAAACTTGGAGGAAGCCAGCAGCGCAGCCTGCGCTGCACTGCTATACACCGACCCCGCCCCCCCCCCCCCCCCTCTCCGTCACACGTGCGATTGATTTATTGGAGTGAGAACACAACTAAAGATGAACAAAGGAAATAAGAGTTGGAACTACTTCAAACTGACAAGTGCAAATGAAGTCAAATGCAAGTGGAGTACTTCGTGACCACAGAGTGTGAACGTTGTGATCAGCTGTTTTAGCGCAGTTCTCCAGTGAAGGGGGGAGGGAGTCTCCCTCCGCAGCCGGTTGGCGTAGTTTTGGCACACTTCCGTTGTACAGACCGACTTAACAGCAGCCCTTTTTTTTTTTCTCCCGCGGGGGGGGTCGAATGATCGATTATTATTCGCCAGGGCTGTCCGATTTTTGATTTTGATCATGGTCAGTTTCTGGCATCCCTAAACCCTACACATACC